TCCAGCAGGGCTGCCCAACCCTTAGTGGGCACATGGGTCACCTGGGAGTCTTGATAAGATACAGATTCTGTTTCAGTCTGGGGTGGGAGCCTGAGAGTCTAGACGTAAAGCTGACGCTGCCGGTCAAGGTCCACAGTTTGAGGAATGAGGACGTAGAGTATTTATTTGGGAGAGAAGACACTTTAGTGACAAGGGTAGTTTTTTGAAATCCAGATGTTTCTTTAAAGCAAGACGTAGGTATTCCCTTGGGACATCTAGCTAAAGGTCCTCTGTTTTAAAGTCTCTATTTCCCATTAAAAGCAAACAAAATATCAGAGAGGGGCGATTGTCTAGAGCTGACAGTTAGTGACCTTCAGCAAGTCAGTGTCTCAGGAATTTTTCTCCATCTAAACAATGGGAATAATTCTATTTGCTCCGTGCCTACTCTGAAGGGATGCTCTAAAGCAGTGGTTCTCAACCTGTGGGTCGCAACCCCTTTAGGGGTCAAACAACTCTTTCACAGGGGTCGCCTAAGACCATCAGAAAACACATATATAATTACATATTGTTTTTGTGATTAATCACTATGCTTTAATTATGTTCAGTTTGTAACAATGAAATTGGAGGTCACCACAACATGAGGAACTGTATGAAAGGGTCGCGGCAATAGGAAGGTTGAGAACCACTGCTCTAAAGATAAACACCTGAAGGTGAGGTCTATATACAACCAGAGCATTGGTGATGGAGCTTGTCACTGTAGGATCCAAAGAGACTCTGAATCCCAAAATGTGTTAGTCCTATGGGCTCTGGTTATCATCTTAATAGAAAGGAAGAAGGTTAAGCAGGCATGCTGATGGGACTCACTAACTGCCTGGAATTTAACTATTAAGTAAAAGTTGAAGCACTCTTTCTTTGTCATTCAGTCCCTATATGAGTAGCAAAAGAGAAAGATCTCCTTTCTAGGTGAAATTGTTTCAGAAATTAGTTAGGAACTATCGATAAATTACCAACCAAGCCTGCGAAATAGCAGCTGAGTATATCTATTCGAAGTGAGTTTAAAATAGGAAACGTTTCTACACCCATGGACCCTTGTCTTTGAAAATAGCTAATTTATGTGTTAAGATTCAGCTTATGTTTTGAGGAGAAAATAGAAGAAACCCCATGACTTCTTTTGGTACAGGTTTGAAACTGAAGCAATATCATCAGTTAGTTTCGGAGGGGGGAGAAATATTCAATTAATTGAATTGGTCAATTTAGCCTGACCAGTTGAGTCAAAATAGCCAGGGTAGAAGCATGATTTTGTCATAGAGAAAACCCAAGAAAGCTTTTAGATTTGAGGACAAAGTTTCATTATTTAGTATACTAAGAAGTGAATTCCTGAGCGGTGTCTCCTGCATACGTTCCCACAGAAGGAAATCCTTTTTGTCCACAATTAGACACATTTGCTTTCAAATTCCTTTTGTTTTTCCAAGGCACCTGCCCATCTTTGAAATAGCTCTGCCAGTAAAGCAGGTGGTGTTAGGGACAGTAGCGCCAGCCATAGGCACAGCAGTGGAGGGGGCAGTAGCACTCTGGGTGGCCACTGCAGGTTGGTTGGTGTCCCTGCTTAACTCTACCTGCGAGGTCTGGGCAGTCTGGAATGCACTTGGGCACACTCACCCAATAACTTGCTCATCTCAGCAATTCAAGGACTTGACCCTGTTTTTTCTCTGCTCCCATGTCTACACATGGAAGCCACCTTAACAGGGTTCATAAATGTCTTTGTAATTGCCAGTACAGCTGATGGTGAAGGGAACAGCTCCTATTAATATTCCTCCACTAAAATCGAGGCTATGCCCTGAAACCCACTGGGCCATGGTAGTCTGCCCTAGGATTCAAAAGCATGGAGAATTGTACCATACCAACGTGCTCTCCAAGGAGACCGAACAACATAACCCTCTCTTGGTATTTTTCTTTTGAAGAAGGGAGCCCGTGGAGTGCAAGCGAGCCCAGCATCGAGCCAGAAGGAATGAGTACTGCCGGCACAGAGGAGAATTACCACAGGAACATGTCGTGGCTTCACGTGAGTAGAAATCTGAGATCAATTTCTTTGGGCACCTGGAAAGATCCATGATGGGAGGACAAAAGATTATACTAAAGCCATCAATCCAATTTAGTCTTCAAGAAAAACCAGAGGCTTATATTTCAGTGGAACATCTCAGTATTCACTATGAGTGGTGTTCTGCTGGGTACTATTCCTTTTAAGTTTAACTAAGACCAAGGGTTCTTTGTTATGGCTGACTTTTGGGTCACCTTAAGTCAGGGAAAAATCATGAATGGCTAGGCCAGATTGGTAGTCAACACAGCTTGAGTGGCACAGGCAAGGCAGCATGACCAGTTTTATACAGGTTATCACCGATACTGAGAGCAAGGTCATGGTGCTGGTCTGAGTCTGCTCTCCATCCAGTATGGCACGTAGTCTCTCCCAGGTTAGGGGTTGGGGTGGGTTCTAGTTTCAGGAAGGGTGGAAGCATCTAGAGGATTACTCTATGCATATGTGACTAACCATGTGGCTCTAGGAATGCTAGTGCCTTTGGGGAAGGCACTGAAGAGTTCACTCCTTATCTTAAAATAACTATTTTAAATCAACTGAGTTCTTTTCTGGAATCTAACTTGGGAAGTCTAGGAGATGTGAGGATTTGAGCCAGATCAAGTCACAAGTAAGGTGCCAGAATGGCCTAAAACACAAAGAAAAATGTTAATTTGTGGAGAGAGGAAAGAAAACTCTACAGTGGAGTTCAAGGCCCAGCTGAAGGTCATAGGTTAGGGTGGAAGATGCAGAACTGTGTTCAAGTTCCATAAAGGGGGGGCTGGAGTTAAAGACCATCCCATAGCTATCAAAGGTCAGCCAAATCCCTTAGGGCAGAACTTCTCGTCAGTTTATGCTCTTCTATCTGGCTCCTTCTGAAATAGAGGAGCTGAAAAAAATACTGTGATGTATTTCAAGGTCAGAATCTTCATTTGAAAATATATGGAAATCATACTCTTCAAAATAATCGTTTTAAGTTTTTAAAGATTACAAACTTTTATTGTTTCAAAAGATCTTTCTATCAAGTGTGAATGGAGGTAGCAAAAAAAGCCAATTACATAAAGGCTCATACCTCTTTGTTCTCTTATGGGAATTATTGAATCATTGTGGTTTCAGGACCCATCAAGGAACATTGATGTTCTCAGTTTCCATCTCCTCCCCACATATATGTTCCTAATTTGTGTGCGCTCTGGTGGCCTGGTTGAGTCTCAGTGACGTCTCTGTTTCAGGTCATGATCTTGCTGTGCAATCAGCAAAGCTTTATCTGCACCCATGTTGACTACTGCCACCCACACTGCTACCTGCACCACAGCCGCTCCTGTGCCCGGCTGGTCAGGGCCATCAAGCTGCTGTATGGAGACACCGTGGACTCCCTCCGGGAGAGCAACAACAACAGCAACGTGGCTCTCAGGGGCAAGAAGCAGAAAGAGGTGAGTGAGCGATCAGTCAGTACAATAACATGCCAGTTTCAGGGAAAGTGATGGTCTAATAATCTTCCATCTGGAAAGAAAAACTTCAGACCGCTGTAGTTCTATCACAGGCTACAGGTCTCCCTGACTCTGAGCAAAGGTAGAAGACGAGTGCAAGAAAGACAAAGGATCGGTCTTCATGTCCGTGAACAAACATGAAATCATCTCCAAGGTTTTGTCTTATTTCCATGAGTAAATATGAACGCATGGGGTGGTGGTAAGGAGTAGGTTATTGTGGTAGGCAGAATAATACCCCCAAGTTGTGTGAATTTTAATCCCTGGAACTGTGAATATGTTACCTCATGTGACAAAAGGAATTTTGACTGTGAGAATAAAGAATCTTAAAATGGGGAGAGTAACCTGAATGATCCATGATAAGGGTCCTTATATGTGAAAAAAAAGAGGCAGGAGAGGCAGAGAAAGAGATGTGACAACAGATGTAGGGGTCAGAATGAGGCAGGGCTGTGAGCCAAAAACTGCTGGCAGCCAGAGGCTGCAAAAGATAAGGCAATGAATGATTCCCGAAAGTTCCAGAAGGGATGCAGCCCTGTCAATCCATCATAGACCTCTGACCTTCAGAACTGTAAGATAGTAAATTTGTGTTGTTTTAAGACATGAAGGTTGTGGTCATTTGTTAAAGCAACAATAGGAAACTGATACCGTTAGGTGCTATTAAGAAATAAATGGCCCAACTATTCACAGATAAATAGATAACACAGTCATCTAAGTCAAATCAGACCTAGAAACTCCTTCAAGAAACAATTGCATTTTCTAAGCATTCAGCTGCACTTTCCTGACAGCTGAGCTGGCAGAAGATGAAGTCAGCCGCCAGGCTGCCCTGTTCCTGCCAGGAAAGCCTTGGGTTGCCCACCTGCCCCTGAGCAGGCATGATGGCCAAGACGCCCGACTGAGTGCCGCTGGCTGCCCAGGCAGCTGCTTCTCCCAAGTGGTGTTGCAAAGAGGTTTTTATGTAATACCTATTCATTTCAATAAGCATTCATTGTGCACCTGCTGTTGGCGCAGTATTAGGCCAGACATCCTGGGAGACATGAAAAATAAAGAAGTATGAGGCAAGGACTTTTTGCAAGCCGGGTTTGGTGGGTTGGGGGAATGACAATTAGATACAAATCAAATAGCTAGAGAATATGAGCAAGAACAAAAATTTCACAGTTGAGTTGTGTAGCAATTTGTAATGTTTTAGCACTTGCAAAGGGATTTTTTTTTTAAAGAAAAACTACAGCTTTTTATTATGAAAGCAACACAGGTTCATTGAAGAAATTTTTGATGATACAAAAATCCTAAAGAAAAATATATGTATCTCATGCATCTCATTTAAGTGTGTAACTCATCTTCTGAGATAGGATCTTTTAGTTAGTTTTTTTTAAAAAAAAAAATCATCTATGTGGGGATATAAGGCAGATATATATATAATTAGCAAAGTGCTTTGGATTCTTACAAACCTTGTGCAAGACATATTGTTCTCCCCATTTTATAGATGAAAAAGTCGAGGCTCAGAAAGATGGGATTGCCCACAATTCACATCTATAACCTACTCATCTAGACTTTTATTTAGAAATATGGAATATCAAAGTCTTTTAACTAGACTCTATTGCATCTCAGGGTATTCAAACTACACAAATTCTGAGGGGAAAGCAGGTGGGGAATAGACCAATGTGGGTAACAAACTGCATGAACTGCTTCATGCTGGCATAAAAGAAAAATATATACATACGCATGTTTGTGGGTATGCATATAGACAGACATTATATAGATAGATATACCTCAAACATATATAAATGACACTACATTCAAAGAAAACCTATTTTCATTAGGTAAGCTCTCCTCCATACAAAAACTTCCTTAGCTTTAATAGAAAACCATATATATTGGAAGTTGTAAGAGTAAACCAGCCTAAAATGAATGTTCATTGTTCACACACTCTGAGATTTCTTTCTGCCGTATCTGCTCCAACTGTACCTTCACCTGTAAATTCATACATGACCAAACCCAGACATCCTTCAAAATCCAACTCAAATCCCCCCTCCTTTCGGAAGCCTTTTCTGATCTCCCTAATGTTAACCACAGGGCATACTGCAGGTGGATAGGCAATGTTATTTTTCTTCCCTCCTTTCTTTAAATGACACAAGCATCTACTTGTGCATTTTTGATTCTTCATTCAACTGAAGAATTGAATTCATTAATTCATCCATCACCTGTCTATTAAATTTTTAAAGAACCTATGGCCCATGCTGAGTCCATACTAGGTGCTGGGTTTGCTAGTGGGCTGCATAGTGCTGGGTGTTTCGTGAGTGCCCTCCCGCTCTGGTCCAAACAGGACACTGGGCTGAGGCAGCAGGAAAGGATTCTCTGCATTGCTGACATTCCTGAAAGGGAAGAGAGAGGAAAGAAGCGAGTGTCCTCTCTTCTTAACTTATTGAAATTAGTCATACGGGTGGAGAGCTCAAAGATGCATTGAGTCTTCTGTGGTAAACATTTTATTTCCAAAATGCCGCCTCCTGTTCCAGCTCTGTTGTTGTTTCTCCCCCTCATGATGTTCCCATTTGCCTGGTCTGATTCTGTCACGTGAATGAACAATGCCCACATTTTCAGAGCCAAAGTGAAAACAGAGTGGGCAGTAAATGAAGAGTGAAAGCAGTGCTTCTGAATAAAGTCAAGTATTATGAGCAGTCGGTAGTTTGTTCCTATTTCCTATTTGACTGGTTTTATGGTAGAATATGTGTGTGGCGGTGAGTACGTTTTGTTAACCCATCTCACGCTGATCAACCTGTTCCTCTGACCTCGGTGCTCAGAGACTCACTGTGCGTCTGGCAGTCTATTTCACTGCACTTCCAAAATCTAGCGGTTTTATAAACTACCAGATATATACCAAGGTCACCAAAGAATTATTAGATTTTTTTTCCTACATATCTGTACCTTGTCTACTGGTATATTCTAAACAGAGTAAATGTTCAGTTAGTACTTGCTGATGAAAAAAGAAGTCACATTTTCCCAAAATTCTGAATAATATTTGTTAAATTAATTATTGATAAATAAGGTAAGTTTTCATTAAAAAATATTCAGACAAAGAATAAAGGAGTGAAATATTTATAAAATTCAAGAATTTATGTTTTAAAATAATTGTAACGACCTGGGAAATACTCATTATAAGGTCATAGTGAAATAACTTGTCAAATTGTGTGCCATATACATACCATCTTCACAGTTGGGTTAAGATGCATAAGGAGGGAAAAGGCTGAAAGGAAACCAATAATGACCCTTACAGGGTAGGGGATTTTATTTTTTTCTACATAGTTTTTTGTGTGTGTTTTCCAGGTACCCTGCAATTTGCCTGTATTGTTGTATAAATAGAATAAAAGAGAGGTGCCACTTTCTTAAATTCTAAAATTACATATGACAATCATTCTCTGTATTTACATGGAAAATGATTGTCACATAATTTTAGAGCAGTGTTCAAATTATAAAAAAAATAGGCATGGTATTTGTGCTTGTTTATTGCTTTTCATTCACAGAAAAAAAATGCAGGGTTTCTCTCCCAAAATGATATGTGTTCCCAAAAATGTGCTTCCACGTTTTTACCTTTAGAAAACACAGCAAAATTTCGAATTCATTTCCCAGTAGATTCATTTAAAAAGTTCATTCCACACCAGTCATATAATAGATGTGTTGTCTTGGGCCTTTTTGTCAGAGTTTTGAAAGACTTTCTTGGAACATGCATGTACTTTCAGATTTGCCTTCCCTTTCAAAACATCTCCATCTATAACACTGTAGCGCACTGTTCGAAAATCTTAAGGAGCTCAGTTTTGTCCTTTGGCATGGAGGGAGAAAGTGTTTCATTGACATGGCACTGGAAAAACAAATGAGCACTTATTCTGTGCAAAGGGATGGATCCCTCTTTGCACAGCCTGGAGGGCAAAAATAGGAGGAAGCTGGTTTCAGGATAAATAAACAAGAACCTGTCACCGTTGGGACCGATCATTCTCCCAGCTGCTCGGTCCACTCCATTCTGTGGCATTTAGGAGTCAGGGGAAGACATTGTCTCCTTTGTGCTTACAGAGATGAGTCGGGCCTATTCTTGGACCCTGGGGGAGGGACCAGTTTGAAAGGACGATTAGATGAGCATGCTTTTTTTAAAAGAAGGTAGCCTACCTGTGCAACTCAGGCCTAGATCATAGATGCTCTGAACTCGTGCTTCCTAGATGAGTCTTTTTATTATTACTTTCTAACACTCCTCCCTGAAATAGTTTCATTCTTATGTGACCAAGTGGTCGACTTGTAACCTCCAACCCTGTAAAGGGACTCCTAGGTAGAGTGGATTTTAACCGACTTCATATTTTAAAAGATTTGTGTTTTAACAGCTTGGTGGAGTATAATTAGCCCTAAAATGAAAGTCAAGAGGTCCTTGTCCTTTTCTCATTCTGCTAACAGCCAGTTTTCTTCATCTCTGGATCCCGTTTCCTTCGTGTAAAGAAGACCTGTTGATACATATCCCTGTGCTTTCTTTTTATTACAAAGTCACCTGCATTTAATTTTCAAGAAGTGTGGCCCCCCAAAAGGCCTGAAATCGTCTTTCCCATGAGATGAGGAGGGTTGTTGGAGATTCTGGGGACACTGCGCTGCGGGTTTGGGAGCGGGCATAGCAGTCTGCGTGACCTTCCCCTGTGCCTTTCAGTGCTCAGACAAGTCCTGCCTGAGGACACCTTCTCTGAAGAAGAGAGTTTCAGATGCCAACCTGGAAGGGAAAAAGGACTCGGGAATGCTGAAGTACATCAGACTGCAGGTATTGGCACCTGGATCAGAGACAGTCATGGAGCCGTGACAGGCAGAGGGATCCAGCTACCCTATTTGCTAATGTTTGGGATATACAGTACCACCTGGCACAGTGTCAACATGATGGTGCCTTTAATGCAGCGGTTCTCAACCTGTGGGTCGCGACCCCTTTGGGCGTTGAACGACCCTTTCACAGGGGTCGCCTAAGACCATTGAAAACACACATATTGTTTTTGTGATTAATCACTATGCTTTAATTATGTTCAATTTGTAACAATGAAATTGGGGGTCACCACAACATGGGGAACTGTATTAAAGGGTCGCAGCATTAGGAAGGTTGAGAACCACTACTTTAATGGATGAGCAAGGGTGCCACCAAGTGTGCAAGGAAAATACCCCTCCTTGCTAGACAGCCAACTTCCACTGTGACAGGGTTTTGGGAGTTTGGCTGTAACCGGGCCTCTCCCCTCTCTCCCTCCACCAATGGAGCTAGTTTCTCACTAGTGTGTGGTGGCGGTGCTCACAGGTTTTGGAATGACAGTATCTGGGCTCCAATCCCACATCTGCTGCTCTGGCACCAGGCCTTGGGCAACTTACCTAATTCCTCTCCGTCTTAGTTATCATCCCCTATCGGATTATAACTAGTCCCATCTCAAAGGATTATTGCATGGATGAAATAAAATAGTACTCTTACCTACTTATTCATTGCTTGACACTTCGATATATTGTTATTACAACCAAAGCACTAAATCATAATACATTTCCCCATGGGGGAAAAATACTTTTTATGATTTTCCGGAAAGTGTTTAAAGTAATGGTTAAAGACCTAGACTTGCTTGGAACCTATATTGATTGCCTAAATTATCTGAAATAATGGATTAAATAGGATTTTGTGGGCTAATCGGGGGTAATACCATAAGGTGTAATAGTATTTCAAGGGCAAAATGCCATCCAAATTCACACTGGTTTAGAAAACTAACTTCCTGAGTAGAACTCCTTTGTGAATTAGAGACTGCTTGTAGTTTTCAGTGGAAATCAACTCTTAACAGGAAAGAAAACAGGATGCTTCAAAAGCCCATCTGGCCTGGCCAGCATGGCTCTGTGGATGAGCTTCATCCTATGAACCATGAGGTCATGGTTCAATTCCCGATCAGGGTACATGCCCAGGTGGCGGGCTCAATCCCCAGTGTGGGGGTGCAAACGGCAGCCAATCAATGATACTCTCTCATCATTGATGTTTTGATCTCTCCCTCTCCTTTCCTCTCTGAAATCTATCTATCTATCTATCTATATATCTATTTTTAGATATATAAAAATATATATATATTTTTTTAATCCCATCAGGACTCTTAGCACAGATATGTTGGCTGGAGACTCATTTTTCTCCTAGAGCTGTACTTATTCTACAGTTTATTCCTTAGGTGTTTGCAAAGCCATTTTTATGATGAAAGCATCATAAAGAAAGTATGATTTTCTTCCTAATTATGTACCAACTAATAAGGTATAAAGCTTATAATATACCATGCCAATAAATATGTTCCATTGTAGAAGGTATTCTAAGGTCATTTAAGGAAAGTCATTAAAGCCATTTAAGGGAGAAGTGGCACATAAGGCTCAAGGGGAGAAGAGCAATCAAACATGTGAAGCCATGGTTTCCCTCTCTCCCAGGTGATGAGCCTGTCGCCTGCTCCCTTATCTCTGCTCATCAAGGCCGCACCAATTCTGACGGAGGAGATGTATGGGGATATCCAGCCAGCTGCCTGGGAGCTCCTACTCAGCATGGACGAGCACATGGCTGGGGCGGCAGGTAAGGAAAGACCACCTGGAACCCTGACCCTGCTGCCACGCATCCCGGTGTTTAAACAAGAGAGAGGCGCATTTATTCCAGTTGCACTCCCAGGTCAGACGGACAGCAAGTGTTAGGACCAAACAGAGCCACGCACTGCAGTGAGGCAGGCATGGCTCTGGGTGTCCTCTCCATTTCACTGGATAGTTTGCACAGGAGCAGTAGGTCTCTCCCAGGGTGTCACCAAATTATAGAGAATGGTTTTCTCCAGAACCTACATGGTCTCTATATTTCACAAAGAATCAAATTCTTCCTTTTGTTCGATTGCCCAGATTTACCATGAACCACCATCATTTGCTTTCTTGAATCTTATGCGAGCCATGTTCTATATCCAAATTACAATAGCAAAACAAATTTGTTGAAACTTAAGTGACATGTCCAAAAGCAGTAGGTGCAAAATGTGGGTTCTTCAATTTTTTCCCTGCTTTTTGAACATATTTCTTTAGTTTTATATACTTATTTTAATTGCAGAATACACAAGGTGATAATTCAAATAACACAAAAAGGTATGAAGGTAAAAGTGTAACTCTTTTCCCTTGACTCCCAGTCCACTTCTTCAGAGGCAAAAATTTTTAAGTATCTCAGGACCCTTCTGGGGTACACTAGGTGTATGTATGTATGTATGTATGTATGTATTGCATGTTTCCTTTTTCACACAAATAGGACAACACCATTTAAATTTTTCATTTATATCTAAGAAACCATTTTTTAATTTTAAGAGTTTATTTCAGCAAAAATGCAATTCAAATTGAGCAGTGCCAAACCAGAAGTGATGAGGAGCTCTCTAACCGGAGCTCAGGGAGAAACTTTTATAGAGAAAAGACAGAAGCAAAGTAAGACAGTTATTGACTGGCTGTAACTTAAAGCCTAGTCTAGTGTTTGTGATTGCTTTTCCTTAGTGTATTGATTTATGTCCTTGAGGCATTTCCAGGCTAAGATTTTGGCTTGCTTACACAGACACCCATGGCATTAAAGCCACATCCCTATAATGGCCACCTTGTTTAATTAATTTAACAATTTCCCCCTTTTGGTTACCTTCCATCTGAGATATTGATCAAAAAATTGGGATTAGCACCAACTTTCAGTGACCATTAGAGTTCAGTTGCTTTTGTCTCATTGTGAAACCCATAGGCTATGTTGTCTGATCTGTGGAAGTGTTGTTTTTGCTGTTCATCTCTTTGTTCATTTTATTTCTGTGTCTCTAAGCAAAGTGATGTGCCAATGATAACTGTGAGCATGCATATCAGACCTCTGAGAGGATGTAGCACACCAGGGAGACTTCAGTGGTAACTATTAGGAGGATAATACCAAGAAACTGAAGTATACTCCTTAGCCAGGGCCCCCATGAAACACACCAGTGGTATCAAATAAATCAAAGAATGTAGCTGAAAGGGCATGAGCCAGTTGGCCTGTCTGTTAATTTCTTGCATTTGCTACAATACAGAGGTGCTGGCCCGTACAGTGTGAGGTATTTTTAGACATTTTTTGATATTTGCAACCATAGTAAAACAAAGACTTATATTTTTGGTATTTATTTTATATATTTAAATACCATTTAACAAAGAAAAATCAACCAAAAAAATGAGTTCGCGTGTCATCTCTGACACGCATGGCATAGGTTCGCCATCACTGGACTATAGGGTGGTGAAGACCTGGGGCGGAGGGCAGGGGCAGACTAGAAGGGGTCAATGGGGAAGAAAGGGGACATCTGTAATATTTCAACAATAAAAATAATTTAGCCCTAGCCAGTTGGGCTCAGTGGATAGAGCCTCGGCCTGCCCCGGTTCGATTCCGGTCAAGGGCACATACCTCAGTTGCAGGCTCCTCCCCAGCCCAGGCCCTGGTCAGGGCACATGCAAGAGGCAACCAACTGATGTGTGTTTCTCTCACATCAATGTTTCTGTCTGTCTTCCCCTCTCTTCCATTCTCTCTAAAATCAATGGGAAAATATCCTCAGGTGAGGATCAAAAGAATAAAAAATAAATAAATTTTAAAATAATAACGTAGAAAGCATGTCACTACACTTGCTATATGATCCAGCCATTCCACTCCTAGCACAAAACAGCAAAAAAAGGATGAAGACCTTGATCTGTGATCATGGGAGAGTTGTTTGGCCACAAGATGGCGTCTGCTTCTGGGGAGGAACCTCTTAGTGAACTTGAATTTTAGATTTCCCTTGGGCATAGGGTTCCAAGAGTCTGGAGGAGCTCTTTTTAGTTGGAGGATGTAGAGCCAACATTCAAGTCCCTGAAGTTTGGCCGCCGTCTGTATAGCGAGGAGGACCTAAAATGGTTCATTTCTCACAGATTTAAGGGCAGTCTTTATTTTTAGTGATTCCAAGTCAGAAGGGTGGGAAAACATTGGAAACGTTTGTTAGGAGAGTTGAGGCGAGATATTTGAGGAAACTATAAGAATTCAGGATCCAGTTTGGTGTATAGATATGTAATAAAACCTCAAAGAAAATGAACAGGCCTAGTATCTGATATCTACAATTTTGTATTATAGTTTTTTACCGAAACATATTTTTTCATCAACAACCACCCTTATTTCTATCAAGGACTATCACAGTAAGATGAATTTGTTTGCAAAATAAATCTAGTCTTGTTAACGTTGGCTTGATCCTTTATATGAGTGCAACGAGAATAGTGTTTGACCTCTTTTTAAATGTGCTTTCCTGGAACTTTTCATAAGAAATCTTAGGTTGGACTTTTAAAAGCCTCTCCAGACTAAGAAACCAAGCCCAAAACTCACCATCGGACTTCACCTGCAATAACCATCTAGTATTTCGGTAGATTTCTCTCTTCTTGAAGTCCCAAAGATATGCAGTTCCTGGGCCTACCAGGAAGTGATCTTCCACTCACCTGGAGCCTGCAGGGAATCCTGTAAGCAAGGTACCAGCCCAGTTTTTTCCAAGAGGCTTTTATTGGCTCCATCAAGTCAACCTTTGTTTCTTAAAACTGCTTGGTCATATCTGATTTCATGCATATTCTCATTTTTCATTAGCTTTATAACTCATGGCACCTGACCTTTCTCTTATTGTCATTTATATCTCCTAGAAATTAAAACAAAAAGTCCAGCTAGCATGGCTGAGTGGTTGAGCATTTACCTATGAACCAGGAGGTCACCGTTCAATTTCCTGTCATGGCACATGCCTGGGTTGCAGGAGGCAGTCAATCAATGATTCTCTCTCATCATTAATGTTTCTATCTCTGTGAAATCAATAAAAATATATTTTAAAAAAACAGTAATGGTAATATGATTTATTAAATCTCTTTCAGCTTCTCAATCTCTTCTTTCTCTAGGAAGGATAAAAGTTAAATGAGTCTATAAGGTAGATTTTATTTTTAACCCAACTGATGTAACTGAGATAGTTTTTAATTGACATTTTTATATTTTCTCCCTGGGTTAGTATAAGGTACCTCTACCCACTTCCTAAATATTTAATATTCCTGATATTTTAATATGCAGTCTCCTTTTTTTCATTTGCTTCCTCTGGCATTCATCTTGCACTGTGAGCCAAAGCAGACTTCGCATAGAATGAGTTATTCTATTGAAATGTCATGTTGTCGCTGCCCTCACCCCAGATATCGGAACACTGAGGTTGGCACATAGGATGATGTTTGGTTTCCAGTGACTAAGGTTTGCTTTTGCCCATGCTGGTGGCCTGGTTTGATGAGCTCAGAAGTCATTTTCAGGAGATGGGGGCAATTCTCCCTTCTCTCCATCCCCTGAAACCAAGCAGTTAAAAGATGTGTGGCTGATGAATGGCTGACTGTCTCTAGCTGCCATGTTCCTGCTGTGTGCGGTGAAAGTCCCCGAGGCCGTGTCCGACATGCTGATGTCAGAGTTCCAGCACCCGGAGACGGTGCAGAGGCTGAACGCCGTCCTCAAATTCCACACGCTCTGGAGGTTTCGCTATCAGGTCTGGCCCCGGATGGAGGAGGGAGCACAGCAGATTTTCAAGGTGAGGGGTCCTTCCCACGTGGGAATTAGATTAACAAACCCCACCCAAACGTTGTTGAAATCCTTGAATCAAGTCTGCAGTGTATGGCCCAAGAGATGCTTCTTTTTGTGTTTCTCTGATTATATAAGTAAACTTAACTCATCCGTGAATGAATTCTTATTGTTAAAAAATAAAATATAGAAGAACATAAAGTAAGAAAATCAAATCTCTGTAAACCTCTAGATATCACTACCATCCCCAGAGGTAAGCACTTAAAAGTTGGGGTGTATAATCATCCAGACATTTCACTATATATACACAGATAGATGTATTTTGGAGGATGGGGTGATTAACGAAAATAGGGACCATCTAGTTGAAACCCTTCATTTGATTAATGAGTAAACCGAGCCCTAGAGTGGTTCATCCTATGCTCTATAACATCCTGGGCTCTGTAAGATTATGTCATAATTATGCTTCTGAGTCATTCAAACTTATTCTTCATCTTACTCACCTCATTCTTTTGATATCAACTAACAGATCCCGCCTCCCAGTATAAACTTCACCCTGCCCTCGCCAGTGCTTGGAATGCCATCTGTCCCCATGTTTGACCCCCCGTGGGTCCCTCAGTGCAGCGGGAGTGTCCAGGACCCCATTAATGAAGACCAGTCTGTGAGTAATAGGCGCTTTCTTTCCCCCAGGCTTCATGGTGTACATGTAAGAGAGAAGAACAAGGAATGTGTTCGTATGTTTATTTGTTGTCATATTAACATAAAAACAACACAGAAAATCAGCTACAAAGGTCTTTTGTTCTTGTGAATAGCACAGAAGGAACTGACACCTGGATGAGCATTTGCAGACTTTCAAACCAACACAGTTCTGTTTTTATAATCAAAGCAGCAGCCACCTTATAAAGATATTAAGAGTCGCCGAAACCGGTTTGGCTCAGTGGATAGAGCATCGGCCTGCGGACTGAAAGGTTCCAGGTTCGATTCCGGTCAGGGGCATGTACCTGGGTTGCAGGCACATCCCCAGTGGGAGATGTGCAAGGAGGCAGCTGATCGATGTTTCTCTCTCATCGATGTGTCTGGCTCTCTATCTCTCTCCCTTCCTCTCTGTAAAAATCAATAAAATATATTAAAAAAAAAAGATATTAAGAGTTGATTTCTTGGCCAAAGGTAACACTTTTGCCTCTATTTGTTATAAAACAAGTGTTTTAAACTTATAATACATAAGCTACCCCAAAGTTAATGATATTGGCCCTGAAAAAGTAAGAAAAAGTACTGAGTTGGTAGCTCTTGTTTCCTTGTTTTGACCTGAGTCCATCCTCCATCTTGTTGATTTCCAGTATCATCCTCACAATCATCGCTGTGAGACCTCAGGTCTTAGGCTGCTCTAGTAGGCCACTGCTCTATGTAAGGTAATTTATAAATAGTTTAGAACACTTTCTTTATAAATAAGAGCCAAGTATATGTGCCTTTTGAAAAAATGAATCTTCAAAATAACACTTTTTTACCTTTTAAATAGCATTTTTCTAAATTACAAGAGTAATGTAGAGAAAAATTTTTAATAAAACAAAAATAGAAAAAAAAACACATCTCTTTGCACAAACCCGTGATTACAAAAGTATAGGATTTAGGGTAATGGTATATAAATATTAAAGGTTTTTAAAAAATATATTTTTATTGATTTCAGAGAGGAAAGGAGAAGGAGAGAGAGATAGAAACATCAATGATGATAGAGAATCATTGATTGGCTGCCTCCTGCACACCCCACACTGCGGATTTAACCCACAACCTGGGCATGTTCCCTGACCAGGAATAGAACCATGACCTCCTGGTTCATAGGTCACTGCTCCACCACTGAGCCATGCTGGCTGGGCAATATTAAAGATTTTTGATACATCTCACAAAATATCTCCAGGAAGGTTGTACCATTTTAACCTTATATAATAGAATGGGAAAGTGCCTCTTTATTCCAATTAACTAGTGTTCTTTTTTAAATGCCATTGTGAATGGCACAAAACATTATTTTGTTGTTTCTACCCCAACTTGTTTAAAAAGTTAGCTGAATATGTAAAGTCAGGTTAAACATATTGCATATCACACATACTTTTTTTTAGACATTAAAGTTTTCTTTGGGGAACAGTTTGTTTGAACTCTACCCATCAAAATCTTTTATTTTAATTCTTTTGCATACAGTGCCTTTGTATCTGATGGTTTTTATGCCAAAGAGAATGTCATACCTGGTTCTTCCCCCAGATGTGCAATCATTTCATCATTTGAACCACTGGCATAAAGATCTTTGATTTTTCTCCCATACAGGTGATGGGTTCATCTGAGCCAATCACATTCTTTACTCCACCTTCACAGTGAATTTCAAACCAAGTGCCCTGGTTAAACTATCTTAACCCCGACTCTGAAAATGAATTGCTATTTAGCCCATCAAATGCCCTAAATTGCTGTTGTGCCATTCATTATATGAAGCCATTAGTCTTATGTTAAGATCCTGCTTAAAGGGACTTCTATGAATGCAGCCCTTTAGAACAGTGACCAACAACTCTTGTCTGTCTCTAAAACCCTTTATGACTACTGGCAACAAAGAGACGTGCAATAACTATTATACATTAACATTACTTCATATCGGCAGCCCTGCTCTGAGACCACTGACTGTCCCAAAGCCCTTGACTTGTCTCAGCATAAACATCATGATTGAGGTACAAATAGTGCAGAGTGAAAGTATTCTCCTTTATTGTGTCTTTATCTGTTATGCCTTAGCCAATGGTAAACAAAGTCAAATTTTACATTCAATTTATAACACCAGCAATGCTCATAATTTCCATCAGTAACTTTGTTTCTACAAATATTCAGTATTTACACTGTGTTAATGTATCTATCTACAAACTAGAGGCTTGGTGCACCGGTGGGTCCCTTGGCCTGGCCTGTGGGAGGGCCGAAACTGGCTCTCTGACATCCCCCTATGGGTCCTAGATTGCAGAGGGTGCAGGCCAGGCTGAGGGATACCACCAGTGCCCAATTGGGCAAGGGAGAGATGTGGGAGGTTGGCCAGCCAAGGAGGGACTGTGGGAGGGCTCCAGGGCATGTCCCGCCAGTCTTGCTCAGTCCCAAGCTAAATTACCGATTGGAGTGTCTGCCCCCTGGTGGTCAGTGCATGTCATAGTGAGCAGTTGAGAGGCCTTAGCATATCATTAGCATATTACACTTTGATTGGTTGAAGGACCAATCCGTCAACCAGACACTTAGCATATTAGGCTTTTATTATATAGGATATTATGTATTTATACTGTGGTTGATATGTGAGATTAAAAAATGAAATAAATCACATAAGTAATGGGTTTATATGAGAGGTAGATCTCTTTCCTCCTCCTTCCCACGATTCTGACTTTCTCTTTTATTAACCTTATGAAATAAATGACCTTCATTTAAAACCAGTTCACAAAATGTAGAGAGTATTACAAATAATTTGTCTTTACTGTTTAAAGAGTGAATCATTGATATCACGCCAAATCCTAAAGGTGAAATAGGATTTTTTTTCAGAAATCACAGACATTCTTGAAGAATTATTCTGATTGAGTGAAAAACAATAGCTTAGTTGTAACAACCTGGGAACTTGGACAAAAAAAACAAGTAAATCTCCAGGAACTTAGATCATATGACGGAGGCACTAATGTTTCCTGAGGACAGAGTACCACATTTGTGTAATTTATTGGAACACTCTTTATACTTGTGACCTTACAGAAGAGTTGCTATTCAATAAACTTGCCTTCATGTCTCCATAGAAATCCTTTTCAGCCCGGGCTGTGTCCCGTTCCCATCAAAGGGCAGAACACATCTTAAAGAACTTGCAGCAGGAGGAAGAGAAGAAGCGTCTTGGCCGAGAAGCCAGCCTCATCACTGCCATCCCCATCACCCAGGAGGCTTGCTACGAGCCCACCTGCACACCCAACTCTGAGCCAGAAGAAGAAGGTGCCCTCTGCACATAGGACTTCTGGGGGCTGAG